GTCTGGAAATACAAACCCTAACTATAAAGTCACTTTTCATAGAAATGGAACGGCTAGTATCTCAAAAAAGAAACAGACTCTCACAAATAAAATATTGAAGTCTGAAGGAGCTTTCGAGACAACAGATGGGAAAGTATACTTCACTGACCAACAGTTCATTATAGAACATCTCATTGACTTAGAGTCGAAATATTCTAAACTTTACAACAAACACAAAAAGTTGAAAGGAAAACAAAAACAAATGGCATATGATATTTATGAAGATGTTGACGACACAACTGTTCCTGCAAGTGAAGTAAAGTCAGGTGAACCGAAAAGTGACGAAAAACAGATAGAAGAAGGTGAGCCAAAAACTGAAGATAAACCAAAACCAAAGTTTAGTTTCCAAACTAAACCAAGTCAACCTTCATTAGCTGGTATGGGTTGGCGTCAAAGACTTATGGCAGCAGGCGGTTATGTAAAGTAAAGAAAAAAAACATATTTTTTTATTTTTATAAAAATGCCCCCATATAGAATGGACAGAAGGTCTGCTAGAATAAAAGCAGAGTTAGAAAGATATGGTTGGAGAGTTTCGAAGAAGTTTAAATATAGGAAGGGAAGACCCATAAAAGTCTATGACAAATTGTCTGGTCTGACCTACGAAATGGATTTGGAAACAGCACGTGCCAATTATCCAAACAGACTAGAGAGGTTAGAAGAAGAACGTCTTATGAACTTGCCTTTCAATGTTACTGAGCCTCAAGTTGAGGGACACGACGGCTTTGCCAGATTTTACTGGAAACATGACGAACAATTGCATCCTTTGAGGAGGAAAAAAGGAAAAGGTGAAGACGCACATGTTCCCATGGAAAGAACAAGATATGCATATGAAAAGTATCGTGAAGTTAGAAGTCAAATTACATCTGGTCGAACCTTTACAGTAAAATTTGACGAAGGAAAGAACAAAGAAGGCTTCATGGGTGTACTTGCTGCCATACAAGACGGAAATAAGAAAGGATACAATCTCAGACTAACCATAACAGATTTGGATGGTCATATATACTATGCACATGGCAATGTCACAACAGCCGCACAACTTCTTGACGCTTTCAAGACTACAAAGAGAGAACAAATGGTTGACTCCGACTCAGACATTTTGAATGCAATTGAAGGAATTGCAAGTGTCAAGTTCGAATGGTACCAACCTAACCCTCAAGCAGTCAGACAACATGCTGGATACTTCCCGTTCATAAATAAGTCTGACATTGACTTGACAAGGTATGGAATTTACAATTCAATTGAAACAATTGTCAATGAACCTTGTATTCTTACATGTCTCAGGAACTCTGGTCTTGTTACAGATGAGAAGATGAAGTATCTTGAGTCATGTGTGAAGACAAGGTACATTCTCAGAGGTCAATTGGCAAAAATTGCACCGTTGGCAAATGTCAATATCCGAGTCAACATACCTACAGCTAAAGGTTCTTCACATGACGACTATGTTGTTGAGTTCAATTTACCATGGTTGAAGATTGCAATTGTCCACAACCACTTCATGTTGAACGAAAGTCTTACAAACCCATTGTTCGGAAAAGGCAAGTGCAACATTGTCAGAGCTGTAAACATTCTTTTCGAGAAAGGTTTGTTGGAACCAATTCCAGATGACAAGCTGACAGAAACTTTTGTACCAAAAGACGAAACAAACTTTTCACTGTTAGCAAGACCAAAAGTTGTTCCAGACAAAGTTCTAGTACAAAAGAAGTACACAATTCCACAAGGAGTTGGATTGTTCGGATACCAACCTGAACCAGAAGAACTTCCAATGAGGTTGCAAGAACTTCAAGATGCTATAAACAAACTTCCATTGAGACATCCGATTGACGTCAAATTGTATTGGAGAGCATCTGAGTTAGGTCAGAAGGTTTTATATGAAACAGGTTGCTTCGACGATGTTTATGAGATAACAGGAGAAGTTTCTCAGAAGATAAGAGACTCACTTGAATTTCCACAAACTGACCAATTGGTTGCGACAAGTTCGACTCAGATGAAAAGATATACTATGTCGACCTTAACGCTGCGTACATGAGGTTCGTCCAATATATTTCAACTGGAATTCCAAACGAAGATGGTGAGTTCCAGGAAGGAACTATACAGTTGGAAAAGTCATACAACAACTGTATGATATTAGGAAAGCTTCAAACCCCAAACTTGCAATGACAATCAAATTGCTTATGAATTCGACATGGGGATATTCCATTAAGAAACCTCAAGAGATGAAGAGTAAACATTATGAAAGGTCGACAACTTTGTTGAAAGGTTTTCTCCTTTTGTTTTGAAGTACGAATTCACTCAAGGTCAAAGTGGCTTAGTAACCACATTAAAACCTATTGTCGAACATTGGTCTTACCCTCAGTTCGCAAAGGCAGTCCTTGACAACTACAACAAATTCTTCTCCGAAGTCAAATCCAAAGTGAAGGTTTACTATGAGAACATTGACGCACTCATGACGAACGAAGAAGGGTACAACAAACTCATTGAAATGGGCATGGTCGGTGAAAAGATGGGCTGTTTTAAGCTAGATAAGGTATTTTCCGAAGTTCATGTAATATCGAAAAGGAAATATTGGGGCATACTTGAAGACGGCACAGAAATAAAACATTGCATGAAGTAAAAAATTGCATGAAGTAAAAACGTTTTTAAAACCATATATTTTTACATATATTAAATGCTTCAGGTTGAAAAACAAAGAACAAAAGTAGCAGATACAAAACAAACATTTTATGAGCTTACAAAGGGTGTTATGAATGAATTCAGCAACATACATCCTGACCTCGTTCATTTTGTTGCTAAATTCAGTAAAAATAATGTTTAGGTGAAGAGGTGACATCTCACCTGTTTTCTCACCTGTTTTCTAACCTGTTTTCTACCCTCTTGAATTTGTCATGAATTTTGTGCTGAATTCGACAAAAATGAGTTTTTGGTTGAAAGAATACGGTGGAGCCAAAAGTGGCTCGACCTCAAAACAAGCATTTTGTGAAGAATATACCAACCCGCGGAAAACAGCGGGTTGCTTTTTATACAAAGTTCAACAGGTGAATTTTCATGAATTTCCTTAAGATAGAAAAAAAGTGAGTTAAAATGAGATGTTTACTGAGGGGGTCGACGGTTAAGCCACAAACGAATGTCCGACGGTTAAGCCACAAACGAATGTCCGACGTCCCACCAAAAAATATTTTTTTATTTTTATTGTAAGAACAGTATGACAGTCGAAGCAAAAACGTTCACGAACAAATCTAATGGCGAAACATTCACAAAAGGCACTTACAACGGTATTGAAGTCTTACGTAGAGACATGGATGGTTATATAAATGCAACAAAGATGTGTCAGCAGTTTAGGAAAGACTTTAGAAGGTTGTTGGAAAATAAGTCCTGGGAAGAGTATTTTGAGGCATTTTGTGAAGAATATACCAACCCGCGGAAAACAGCGGGTTGCTTTTTATACAAAATTCATGCAGGAATTCCTGATGAAATCAAACAGGTTAGAGGAATGTATGTAGACCCAAGACTCGTAAACTATATAGCAATGTGGGCTTCTCCAAAATATTGTATAGCAGTTGGAAAAAATTCTGGACTCCATAGACAAGAAAGTTCATGAGAAATTAGATGAAGAAGAACTTGAAGATACAGTAGAGAATGCTAAACCTTTGTTCGAAGAAGAAGTTAGAAAAATGCATGAAAAACAAATAGAACATGAACGTGAGATATGTTCTGGTTATAGAGACTCGCCATACGAACTAGACCAATGGGAACAAGAAGATTTAAAGAGAGAATTTAGAGAATATGAACTCGCTAAGATAGCATTAGAAGCTGCAGAAAAGAAGTTAAAAGTTTGGGGTCGTTTTGTACAAAAATATTGTGAGTAAATGAACCATTTTTTCAGCAAAAATAATGTTTATGTTAGAATGTTAGATCTAACATGTTTTCTAACATTTTTTCTAACATCGTAGAAAACTCATGAGTTTTATACAGAATTCGGCAAAAAATATAATTTAGGTAGAAGGTTAGATCTAACCTCTTTTCTAACCTCTTTTCTAACCTCTTGAATTTTCATGAATTTTCATGAATTTCATCGTAAATGTTTTGTCGAAACTTCTTCATCGTAAATGTTTTGTTAAGACTTCTTCTTCGTAATGAGTGTAAACGACCAAAAAAATATATTTGTTATTAGATCTAACACGTTTTCTAACACGTTTCTAACATCGTAGAAAACTCATGAAATTCAGAGTTTTGACACTTTCACAAAAAACATAAAAAATAAAGTTAGTTTTTTTAAAAAATATTTTTTATTTTTATTGTAAGAACATGTTAGCAACAACAGCACCAAACTCGTTAGTCATGAACCCAACTTCAATGTTGGTAGAGATGAAAAGCTTCATTCCTTCTTCATATAAACAGAAATCCAGAAGATAAAGCAAGAACTGTTAACAAGTAATTTAGATTGCACCGCACAGGATGAAACAAATGGACAGTATCTTTATGAAATGCAGGACCTCATCGACCATCTACCCAAACTTCCTGAAATCCAACAACAAAAGCTTACTATTCCTGAATTCGATGAAATAGAAGTCAAAGCAACCGACTCAGTAGAAATAAAGAAGTTCATACGAAAGGTAAACTATGAATTCCTTGGTTTTCATTGCAACCATAAAGTTATGGACAAAGACTGCGATATGGTATATAAGAACATCTCTGACATATATAAATCTGGGGAGTTTAAGACCTACGACAACTTTGTTTCGTTAGTTGCTGAATGTGTATGGCAGATAAGAGATAAAGATAGAAGAGGTAAGGTATGGAACGAACAAATAAGACCCGCTATGTTTGAGTTAAAGAAAACCATTGACGCTTTAGTTGTACTTGCAGGACAAATTTCAATGTACAATGCTAAAATGAACCCGCAATGTTCAAAATGTAAGGCAGCAATGAGGAAATATAACTACTCCGTCAAAGAGATAGAAAGAATGAGAAACGACTATGCAGATTTAAAGAAAGAAGCAGAAAAGCCAGCAGAAGATAAAATGGACATGTTAGAATTTCTGAACAAAAACTATCCAACAGCAGAAGATTTCCTTCTGTCTGACGTCAAGAAGAAATATAAAGAAACTTTCGGCATAGTTAAAACATTCGATATCCTCAGCGAAGAAATAGAAGCTACAAAACTGTTTAGAGTCTCACGAATTCATAACGTTTACCATGTAAAACGCTTATAAAATAACTGGGGTAGAAAAGAGGTTAGAAAAGAGGTTAGATCTAACCTTCTACCCTAAATTATATTTTTACTGAATTCCGTATGAAATTTCATGAGTTTTGTGTGTTTTAGACCATGTTAGAAAAGAGGTTAGAAAACATGTTAGATCTAACATTCTAACATAAACTTTATTTTTACTGAATTCTGTATGAAATTTCATGAGTTTTGTGTGTTTTAGACCATGTTAGAAAAGAGGTTAGAAAACGTGTTAGATCTAACATTCTAACATAAACATTATTTTTACTGAAAAATGACCAAAAATCATGAGTTTTGTGTGTTTTAGACCATGTTAGAAAACGTGTTAGAAAACATGTTAGATCTAACATTCTAACATAAACATTATTTTTGCTGAAAAATGACCAAAAATCATGAATTTCCTTAAGATAGAAAAAAAAGTTAGTTTTATTTTTTTTTATTTTTTTATTTTGTATGTAAGAACAGAAAATGTTAAACATTGAGTTTGAAACAGTTAAAAAGATAGACAATGACACCAAAGTGGTTAGAATTGGTGATTTAAACGTAAGATACTCAAAGAAATACAACAAATATTCTTTGTCAGACATTATATCTCCATCTGGAAAGCAACCAAAGGACTGGGTTAGAATTGCTTCTACTCAGAAAATTTTGACAAGAAATCCTGAGCTTATAATATCGGTAAGATTTCATGGAACTACAGCATATCTCATTGACAAAAGTCTTATACCAATAGTTTTGTTATGGTTAGACCCAGTTGTTGGATATAACTTCATAACTTATGGTTCATTCGATACGGAACGTTGCAGTGAAGGCTTACTTTACATCGTTCAGAAACCGAAGGACTTCAATACAAAAAGATATAAGATAGGAAGGACATATAATATAACTCTAAGATATGACAGTACAGTCAATAGAGTTAAGGTTGTGTTTGTTAACGATATGAGAGCTGCTGAAACAGAACTACTTGAAAAGTTTGAGAAAATGTATGGTGCTCCCACGAAAGGTAAAGAAACGTTTGAAGTAGATGAGATAGATAAAGCTATAAAATTATTTGACGAAGTTGCTGAAAAATACATGTAAAGCGTTTATTTTTGGTCTTTTGTGAAAGATAGAAAAAATAAAGTTATTTTTATTTTTTTTATTTTTTTATCCGGAATATAAAGACAGAAATGTCAACATCAGAGAACACAACAACTGCTATCGTTCATGAAGCCATAAGTGAAGAATACGAGTGGGTTCAGTTAAACAAACAGTTACGTCTCATTCGTTCGGTCAAAGATGACATGTACCAAATGCAAAGTATTTTGACAGCATGTGCTACACCAGATACTAAGAAACCACAAGACTGGTTTGAATTAAATAGCACTCATGAACTCCTCAGTGAGTTTGAACATGTAGAACTTAAAAAGACGTACCAAGACAGACAAAACTTACCATCACATCTAAAAGGTATATATGTTCATAAGTTCCTAGTTAGTTCAATAGCAATGTGGGCTTCGCCTCGCTATGCATGGTATGTTTGTAAACTTCTTGACGAACTTTGTACAAAGCAGAGAGAAGATATGATGAAAGAAGACAAAAGCATTCAGAAAAGAATACCACGTTCGGTACCAAAAGGAAAGGAAAAGAACTATAAGTATATGATTTATACTGAAGAGATGGAAAATGAAGAAGATAAAGATATGGTTATGTTGCATTTAGTCAGAAGAAACAACAAAAGCTTTTACGACCTTGCTAAGATTTACAAATCTGACAGAAATTGGTTCTATCGCGAAAACTTACCGATTTCAATGACCCCGAATGAAGATGTGAAACAAATAGTTCAAGATACGTTACCTCAAACACACTATGATATTAAAGGTTGTACAATACTTACCTTCAAAGAAGATTTGCCATTGTTAAAGGAAAAAATAACAGAGTATTTTGACAACTTCAAACAAGCAGAGTAGATGAACCATTTATTTTTCAAGCTTGACTTCAGATGGCTCAGGTAGCTCAATTAGGTAAATTGCCTCGTCAAATCCTTCTGGCATTCCGAGTCCTTCCATCCGACATTCCAAGTTCTTCCTTCCGACAGGAAGAACTCTTCCTTCCGACATTCCAAGTTCTTCCTTCCGACAGGAAAAATTTTTCCCGACAACTGGAAAAAAATTTCCCGACAACTGGAAAAAAATTTCCTGTTGTTCGTCCGTAAACCATTCAAATTTTCGAAAATTGAGAACTTTTTGGTCGAACTTCAGAAAAAGTTTTTCCTTCCGACAGAAAAAGTTCTTCCTTCCGACATTCCGAGTCCTTCCTTCCAACAGGAAAAGTTCTTCCTTCCGACAGGACACAAACAGATGACTGACGTTCCTCTTCCTGAATGCCTTCCAAAGCCAGAAGAACCGACAGCCCCAGCACCACAACAGACTAAGACTCAAACTCTTTATTTTTTACGCTTGACTTTTTACAATTTGAACTTTGTTTGCGTAGATATGAATTCTGAAAGAAGTATGAGGGTCTTGTATGACTTTGTACTTCTCCCATAGTTCATGTCTGTCAAACTTACCTGCCATGGACTCTTTCATAAGTTCCATGAAATCGTCTTCGGACAATCCGGGGAAAAGTATTATGTCAGTAAGTATTCTTTTAACATCCTTACTTAAACTCTTTGCTGTCTGTACACATATTACGACTGAGATGTTAAAGTGTCTGAGCTTCTTAAGAATTCGACACATGTCTTGTTCTCTGTTCTTTAACAAAGGATGAGAAGCAAAGTCATCTAAGATAAGAAGACACCTATGAGGGTATGTCTTCCAATCGTAAGATTGCAATTTCTTCGAAATGTATTCTATCTCTTTCTGTTGTTTCTGAAGTGTTTCTTCTCTAATATTCTCTGCATTTCCTCATTTGGGTCTTTAAACTTCGAATTTATATACTCATTTATAGCATTGTACTTCAAAACCCTTCTTTGGTACTTCTTTATCCAATCTAACAACTCAGAGTCTTTTATACATACTAACTTAGACTTCTTTATAATATCTTTGAACGAATTGACGGTTTGGTCAAATTGACCAGAAGTACTACAAATAACAACTAACTCATAGAATGGGTTCTTCTCATCTAGTTCTTGTTGTTGTGCAGCCATTTTAAGATAAGTGAAAGTCTTACCCGACCCAGGTGGTGCAATTAGACCTGTTATACCATTCTGAGCAAATAAGAACTTGTCATGTATAGGTTTTATCTGAGCATTTTCTAACTTCCTCTTGTTCTTGTTTAAAACATTCTCAAATTTTTTGTCAATGTCAGCAAACTTTTTTTCTAACATATTTTTAGAAAAATTAAAATTTTTATCTTTTTTGAAAATGTCTAGCGATTTCGCTATCTATATTCGAGACAAGCTTTTCGACAGCAAAACATCTGTCGACCATAAAATCTTACATAGTGTAAACAAGAAAGGTGAATTTGTTCTAAAGTTCTGTTTCTGGGAATATGACAAGAACCATAAAACATTAGGCAGAGAAGTCTTTAAGTTTGTCAATGACAGACTTGTTGACAGAGATGACGCCTCTTGGAGAGATGAAGTCCAACAAAAATTCTTAGAATGCAAAGAAGACACATGCGCTGTTCTTGAAGATGAAATAGAAAACAGAATAGAAGAGCTATTAAAGGACAAAGAACTTTTACATAAATATGGTTCTGAGAAATTTGACATAACTCCACCAGAAAAGAAGAAGAAGAGAGAAAAGAAAGAAAAGAAAGAAAAGAAAGTAGAAGAGAAGAAAGAACCTGAACCAGTTCCAGAGAAAAAGAAATTTGACATGTAAAAATAAAATTTTATTTTTAGAACATTTCTGGGTCAATGTCAATGTTCTCTTCCTCTTTAGGGGCAAACACTGGCTTAGACTCTAAAATCTTTTTACCTAATTTACCTTGAACTTCAACTATCTTAGACTCATAATATTCATAGTCGTCTGCTTTCTTTGGTTCATAAGGTATAACAAGTTTGTATGCTTTGCCTTCTTTAAGGTTTGAAAACCTTCTGTCAAAATTTTCTTTGACTGTCAACATACCGTCAATGTATAAGTCTTCAAATTTCGCACCATTTTTAGTCACAACAGCAAACTTAACTGGTGCAATGTTCCAAATTTTGTCAAATGTAGACTTTTCAAAATTGTAGAAGTAAACATTCAAATATGCGAATGGAGCTAACTTATCTTTGACTTCTGTCATGTACTTATTTACTGAGATGAATTTTGCCATCTTTTCTATCGGATAAAAAAATATTTTTTTTTAAATTTACTCAGAAAAATTTTTCTTTGTATATACGCCGTTCTGAACATCTAAAAGACTTTTGACGTTTGCCAAGAATGTTCGTTTAGACGCTGTCATATAACCATATTCTTGACAATATTGTTTATACGAATCGTACAATGACCTTTCATCTAAACACTCAAAGTTAGTCTCATCTATAAACAGTTCATATACACTCTTGTTTGCTTCTAACAACGTTTGTCTTTCTTCGGTATGTGGAATTTGTCTTGGATTGAACTTTGAAATATCTAATGTCATAAAATATGAGAACAAGTGGTTGTAAAAGTCAGATGTCAAAGTTTCTGCTAAGTCGTCAAAATATTCTTATCTTGCATAGAATCTGACGTTCTGACAACTACATATCTTCTGTCAGAACTTTCTAACTTCATCGGAACAGTATTGTTTGAAACCATAATGAAGTTTGCAACATTTTCACAAACTCTTTGGTCTTTATATTTTCTTTCAACAACTCCAACTTTGTCTGTTAAAGACTCTTCAAAGCATCTGAGTTCAAAAACTTTTGTTGTATCTATACTTTGAAGTTCATTGCAAACTATAAGTTTCATATTCTCAATTGAAGAGTTAAATTTACCGCAGATGTTTTCTAAGTTTGTCATATTCGGGTTCGAATAGCCCTCTAACAGTTTGCACAAAATATCTGTAAAAATGTGTTCTTACCAGTTCCTTGTTTTC